GGCTGCTGGCCGCTCACGCTGGCTGCTGGCTACACACGGTAGCCCATGGCAACCCACTGCAGCAGGGGCTGCAGCCTACGACGTCGCAGGCAACTCATGGCAGCCCAGCTCCAGGTTGAACTGTTGTTCAGCATCTTAGCTGTAAAGGGCAGTGTCACTGGCCCTCATATGTGGGATCCGAACCTGGGCTCTCTGGCGTCCCAAGCCAGCTCTTAACCAACGCACCACTCGGCCGGCCCTGTGCTTTCTTTTTGAAGAGAAAACCTGCCAGCATCTTTGGTGATACAAAGAAGCTTTGAAACATGGTCGGCAACAAATCTCTTAGCCAAAGAATTTGATTCCTGGTATAAAAAGATTACATAATTGAAAACAGGAGTCAGCCAGTTATGGCCTGGGGGCCAAACCTACTCACTTTCTTGCTTTTGCAAATAAAGTTTTATTGACATAGTCATGCCCACTTGTTTACATATTGTCCCTGGCTGCTTTTGCCCTACCGTGGCAGAGTTGAGTAGCTGCAACAGACACCCTATGGCCTACAAAGCCTAGAATATTTACTGTCTGGGCCTTTACAAAAAAAAGTTGGCCAACCTCTGGTCTAGAATCTAGAGGGAGTCACATACTTTCAAAATGACTTCAGCTTTTTCCCATCTAATTTAGCCTCAAGAACTCAGATAATGCCATGGATATTTGAACAAAGGGGGAAAAAATCATCTTTTTTCTTTCTTCTGTTCATAAATGATGAAGCATGTGCCAAAGAAGTAAAGAATAGGTCCCTTGTTTCCAAGGCCTCCTTAAGTGGTGTGTCCTGGGCACCTGGCTGCCTCAGCCTGGCCATGGCTCCGCTCTCTGACATCCCAGATTGAGCTGGGTGCCTCTGTGAACACCTGACTCTGCTCCCACAGAACTGTGAGCCCCCCTGCTCAGAAAACATCTCTCACATGCTGTTATAACTACAATTCCACTCCTGGGCATACACCTCAGAGATAACCTTGCATGTGTGCCCAGAGAGACATGACAAGAGTGATCATGCAAATAGCATTTATAAGAGTGAGAATCTGGAAGCAATTTACATGTTCACCCTCATGTTCATGAGAATGGATAATTAAATTCGGGGCAAGTCAGGTGGATTAAGCACAGTATGGAGGTTTAAAATGAAGAGACTGGAGCTATATGTATCAACTGACATGGATACATCTCAAAGATACAAATTTAATGTGGAAACAGAAGCAAACTACAGAAGAAAACATTATACATATAAAGTTTTAAAAAATGAAAAATAACACTGTATATTGTTATATATACATATACATTCGGGGGGAATGAAAAAAACACTATATCCAGCACAATAATTGCCTGTAATGTGGGGGGAAGAAAACAGGATTGGGAAGAATGTATACCGGGATTCCATTTATTTGAAATGTTCGATTCGGGAAGCCTGGTCGTGTGTCTGTGAGTATTTGCCTAACAATATCTACACTTTCATATGCCTGAGATACTTTGCTAAAAAGATGAACAAATACAATCCTCCTGTTGTTTAGCACGTGCAAAGAACGGAGCGCTCTCTGTGCCTCAGTCTCTGAAGTTGTCACAAGCGATTCCGGGTCCCCCACAGCCAGAAAGGGAGGCTTTCAAGCTAATGCAATCTACAGTGAGCCTTCTGCAGCTCATTGAGAGCACATTGTTCGCGTAAAAGACAAAATAGAAAATAAAATTACTTTAGCTTTACAATATATTTAATAAAAAAGGAATTGATGGGGGACTATATTGGGAAATAACTAAATTATGGTTTTACTTCCATCTCCGACTCACTTAAAGCATCAGTCAATTTCAGGTAATCTTGTCTGTCTCCATTTGCTCGTTTGTAACGTTTGGGAGAGCAACATTTTCTCCATTCCGTTTCTATCTACCTGCCGGGGATGCTTCGGGGATTTATTAGCTGGTAGGCCCATAATATGTGATACTAAAGCTATCAAAACACTTCAGGAAACACACCAGACAGATGAAAAGCTAGAGACTTTGGAGCAGCAGCATGCGGCAGTATGTTAATTTGGCAGGTCCACAGCTTCAATCCTGGCATATTTTATTGAATGAAAATACATCTGCAGTGATTCCACAAAGCACGTGACGAGATGCTATCTCCTTTCAGATGAGCTTCAGAAGGTCTCACAGGGATGAAGGCGTGTTTTGAGCACGCAGCAAACAAATGCGGTCTCCCGTGGTGTTACTGAGGCAATGGAGGGTTTCCTTTTAAAAGCTCTAGAATTTGGCAAGAGGATTGAGCAGCGGAGAAAAGAAGGGGCTTTGTGGGAATGATTGGAATTGGATGAGAAATAGATCCTGGGAGAGGACCAGTGGGGTTTTTCTAGAGTCAGAGGCAGGAAAGGTTTACATCTGGGTCTCTCTACCATCGGGCATACACAGGTAATGAGCTGTTGGGTTTCCATTCTGCCTTGGCGAATAGGGTCCCACCATGGTTAGGGGCATGGGTATCAGAGTGTGACAGTCTTGGCTCTGCTCTGCCACAGCCTAGCTGTGTGCCCCCGGGAATGACCTCACTCCTCTCAGCCTCAGTTGCTTCATCTGAAAATGGGAATAGCTAAGGGTGCCTCACCTCACAGGAAGAACTGTGGCTTACAGGAGATGGGGCCTTGCAAAGCGTTTGGCAAGATCGAGAATTGGTAGCTGGTGCGGTTGTTAAAAATCAGCATTATTACTATTTGCAACTGTTCAAGGGAAATGTGCATTTCACTATGTCCTGATAGAGTGCTAGAAAGGATACAGGGTGAAAAAGGGAAAGACAAAAAGGCGGTGCTCTAGAATAATAAAGCTTTAGGGGATTCAAGAAATAGAAAGTTGATAAAGTATAAGAAAATAAGCTGTGCCTCATGGTTTTTCTGCTTTCCCACAATAAAAAAAAAAAGATTTTTTAAAAAAGGAATCAGGCTTTGTGTAAGAGCATCTCTTCCATCATGGGAATACAGGGTGAGGAAGACAGCCAGAAAAAACAAACGGTTTCCTTCTTTGTTGAACAGGCAGAAAGCATTCCAGGTACACAGTGTCCCGTGAGAGGGGCTGGCGGGGAGACAGCTCATCTGGGGGACAGCGGGGCATTTCTGGGGAGCAGGAAAGGGAGAAGCAGGGCTTTGAGCACATGAGCATCTGCGAGAGCCTTTCTGCCTCAAAGACAAATACCAAGAAAGTGATTCATTAAAGAAACACATCTACAGAGCTGGAACTCAGACATCGAGGACCGCCAGGTGATGGTATGCACTAAGACAATAAAAGGTGAGGCCAAAAAGGAGAAGTTAGATTTGGAGATTACTGACTGGACCAATTTAGGGAGGATGGTGGGATCTAAAAGCAAAGGTTATGGGGCGGCCGGTTAGCTCAGAGCACAGGCTCACAACACCAAGGTTGCCGGTTCGATCCCCACATGGGCCAAGGAGCTGCACCCTCCACAACTAGATTGAAAACAACTATTTGACTTGGAGCTGATGGGTGCTGGAAAAACACAGTGTTCCCCAATAAAATTTCTAAAAGAATAAATAAATAAATAAATGCAAAGGTTATTGCTGAAGTATCAAAAATTCCCAATCAAAGCCAGTGGGAACGCTTTGTGGGGGAGCATACGGAACTAAATAAAATTCCACTATCCTAATGAGGTGACAGCAGGTAGACATATAAACTATTCCACTTGCCTTTTTTTTTTTTTTTCATTATCTTCTACATGTTTCCAGGAAGTTAAGGGAGAAACCTTCCCCATTTACTTTCCTCTTTGGAAAACTTGTGTTACAATCACTTTCCAAATCTCATGACCACAATGAATCAAGAGAAAGCAAGGCAAAGAAACAAACTCCAGCTTAAAAAAGAAACATATAAGGCGATCTGATTTTCAGCTTAGGTGGTTCATGAGAGCAAAGACAAAAACCCTTAGCCTTCTTAAGTCATAGGAAAAAAAAAAAACACAGGAAAGAATGCTGCATGCCAGGGTCAGTCTTGAAGTCAGGATCTTAATCTGTGAGGTAAGTACATGCTTTAAAATCCAATCACTTCTGAGATGCAATCACAGATAGGAAAATGTACAGACAGTAATGATAATAATAACTAGTTTTTTTTGAAGGGCCTACCCTATAAGGTACCCAGAGGCTTTACTGTGGGGTTCATTTCATCGTCAAAGCAATCCTGTGTGAGACTATCGCTCCCACTTCAACAGGAGGGAGGAGGGAGGGACTTGCCCACTTTCCTACAACAGGGAAGGTTGAATAAACATGGACTTGAATGTGGGGCTACCGGACTCTAAAGCCCACACTGTCAGCTACCCCGCTTCACACTCCATACAGATATCTGGAAAGTGTCCTGTTGATGATGGTCTGAGGGAAGTTACTTATGACCGACACATTTGAGAGCTAGTTCAGCCCAGCAGTGCCGGACAAAGTGCGGGCTGGCAAGCTGGGGGAGACCTCAAAGGTGACACTGGCAGTCTCAGAGAAAGCCTGAACAGGTCAGGTGTTCTGGAGCAGCAGTCTTGAGGGTCATCACCATCAGGCCACATAGAAAGATCATTCGCATATGTGTGTGTGTGTGTGTGTGTGTGTGTGTGTACACAAGTACATATAAAGACAACTACCTGTCTCTGGGGATCTAGCTCTCAGTAACCAGGATAGAACATATTTCTTAACACTGGGGGAGAGTTTGCCCATTTTCGCTCATGACTTTCTTGACCACATTTAAAAAAACAACTGCAGGCATAGGATTGGATTCACTCTCTAAAGTTAATATATAATCGCTGAATGAAGTGGTGCTGGAACAGAGGAGGACAGGAAGAAGGGACAAAGCTTCAGGCCATAGTTAAGGATGGGAGGAACAGAGCGTGACTCACGCTGCAGCACGCATCTGTCAGGCCAAGGAGTAAAGAACCGGCCTGGCCTGACGGGCACCATAAAAGGCGACGTAGAAGGAGGAAGAGGATGCACCCAAAAGATACCCTTTTAAGAGAAACATCAATCCCGTGAGAGCTGCCTGAGAAATGATCCTGGCCTTCCACCTCCAAGACCGGGCAAAAGAAAAGGTCCTGTGGTTGTGATTATAACTACAGAAATCTACAAACCCAAAGCCTTGTGACTTTCTAAAGCAGCTTGGTTTGGGCAAAATACTCACTCCTCAATGAGGAAGGAAACAAAGCCAAGTGATTGAATGAAATCCACCAGTTTTAAACAGGCCAGTTCTAGTGACTATGTCAAGCTGAAGGATCAGGATGGGGAAAAAGTAGCAAAGTTGAAAACAACTCTGGTAAATACAAAGTAACTTTATAGGACAGCTGAAACAGGCACTTATTAGGTATTTAGCACAGATGTGTACAAGGCTCGCCATCTGCTGGCAGGGTTTGGTACTGCTAATTCAGAAAGCACTCTCAGAGGAGGTGCCGGGCCAGAGGAGGGCAATTTATTCTATTTTGTAGCTACACTGTTCAACATTAAGTACTAATAACATTAGCCAGGTCTCAACAGATGGCAACAAATATCAGATCGTGCATATCTCCTATCTTACGAAGCAAGACAGAATACCTACTTCTGGGCCCGGAGAAATTCTGGGCTGGTAGTCTTCGCCAACCATTACGCTCTTCCTCCTCTTGTTACATAAATGGAATCATACAGTATGAATTCTCTGGGGTCTGGCTTCTTTCACAAATGGTATGTTTGTGAGTCATCCATGATGTTAACCATAGGAGTAGTTTGATCATTTGGCTTTGTATAAACAGATCACAATTTTATCTACTTTTTATCAACATTTGGTTGTTTCCAATTCTTGGTTGTTACAAATAATGCACCTTTGGACATTTTTGGCTGTGTCTTTTGGTGAACATATGTATGCATTTCTATTGGGTGTATATTTGGGAGTGATACTGCTGAGTCATAGGGTGTGTGAACTTTCAAATGTAGTAGATAAACCAGTTTTCTGAAGTAGTTATACCAAATATAATACATTCTAAACAACAACATATAACAAAGCATAGGAGAGCATGGCATCCTTGCCAACATGTGATAGTATCAGTCTTTTAAAAAATTCTTTGGCCTGCCGAGTGGCTCAGTTGGTTAAGAGAGCAAGCTCTGAGCAACAGGATCACTGGTTCGATTCCCACATGGGCCAGTGAGCTGCACCTGAGCTGAGCTGTGGCTAAGCTGCCAACAGATGGCAGGATGGCTCAGCTGGTGAAAGCATGTGCTCCTAACAACAAGGTTGCCGGTTCAACTCCCCCATGGGATGGTGGGCTACGCCCACCCACAACTAAAATTGAACATGGCACCTTGAGCTGAGCGGCCATGAGCTGTCACCCAATAGAATGTATCAGACTACATTAAAAAATGGCTGCATGGACAGTGATAGATAGAAAAATAATTGTAGTTCAAAATTTAAGCATGCTCATCTTAAAAGCTAATATATCAACTTGGCAAAATAGAAACAAAAATATAAACTTGGATAACAGAATTAAGAAGGTTGCCCTAAAACAGATTTATTACAACCTTACACGCAAGTGAAGAATACAATTTCTTTTGTAGCACACTCAAAACGTTCACCAAAATTTGATCGTGGACTAAGTCACAAAGGAAGATCCACTAAATTTCAGTGTCCATACGATGTAAATATGTTTCTGTCTATAATGCAACCAAATTAGAAATCAATAACATCTGAATACCCTGAAAAAACTTATATATCTGCAAACTAAAACACATATCACATGAATAATCTTTGGATTAAAAGGTAATTTATACACTAAGTTATGAGTACTAAGAACTTAATGTCAGTGATAATGTTACATGTTAAAAGTTAAAGCAGGGCTTATAGGGACATTTTTCAAAAAATATCTTTGACATTTGGATGGGAAAGACTTCCTAGACAAACTCCCAAAGCATAAATCATTCGCTTAAAAATTAATGGACTTGACTCTAGCAAAATTAAGAATTTCATAGCACTAGAGACAAAAACTAATAAATGGGCAACAGAAGAAAATACCTGCAACAGCACTAATTTATAATATACAACAATCTTTTTATTATCAAGAGAAGTCAGGAAGCCTCAAAAGAAAAATGCGGAGGAATACTAACAGGCTATTCATAGAGGGGAATCATAAATGGCTAAAAGTATGTGAAGAGACAAACTCACTACAATGAGAAATGTAAGTAGACTTGAAAAATAATTAGAAAGCACATTATATGCATCGGGTTGGCAAAGGTTAGAAAGACAGACAATGAAAATACTGTTGGAGATGTGAGAAAACAGGAACACACCTGCCCTGTGAGGGGGATCAGTCAGTCAGTGTGCAGTGAACTTGAAGTAGTTGAAGTAGGAATGTACCCTGTGACCACGTCATCCAACCCTGGGGCACAGACCTCAGAAAAGGCCCATCTTCACCACATGAGTGGAGCTGCACTCATGGCAGTGTTGTTGTGGGCGCAGGGAGCTGGGGACAGGCTGAGTGTCCATTGCTAGGAGGCTGGCTAAGCACAACGTGACAAATGCTTTCTATGGAGCACTGAGCAGCAGCCAGCAGCAATGAACTAAGGTGCAGGCAACAATTAAAAATAATCCTAAGTGGAAAGAAGTGCATACTCCAAATTTATATCAAGTGACACATGGAGATGTGTCAGGGCGGCACAAAATACTGTCATGGCTGTAAAAACCACAGACACAACATCATGGAGAAATACCTCAGGCCTGAAGACAGATCCTTCTAGAAAAGCACCCTCAGCTATCACGTATGCAAAAAGTCCTCAACTGGAAACTTACTGTGCGAATGACAATTTGGTCCGCGCTTGAATCGCCATCCATTCTTCCTTTGAGATCCTTCCATATTGTAGCAGCTCCTTCGCAAGTGTCTCAGCTTTTGTCAAATTCTCCGCAGCTTCCTTGAATCTGAGTTGTGCTCAGGAAGCTTGACACTGGGTTCTAGATGCTGGGACCCCCATTCCTGGACACCCTCGGCTCTCATGCTTCCCGTCACCCTTCCTGAGTCATCTGTCAGCTCTGGATTTGGCCTTGAGAATTAAATACCAGTATACTGAGCAGTATTTCTATTTGTACAAAATAGAGGCAAAAGGATACTTTTGAAGGGCAAGTAAGGCTCTCCCCATGGTGTGGAACAGCTCCACTGAGCACTTGAAAACATCTGTATGGTCGTTATAGGGAGGCACGATGGCGCTGGTGAGGATTTCTTTGGCTTTTTCTGCATGTTGTTTGGCCTGCAGTGACAGTCCTGTAAATAAAGAAAACGGAGCCTCAGTTTCTCTTTCATCTCAGTGAGAAGGAATACAGTTACATATGGCCAAGTGACACAAGGAGAGGTATCATCAAGTGACACACAGAGATGTATCGGAGCAGCACGAACAGTTGCCATGGCTGTAAAAACCAAAGACGTATTTTCTACTTAGTACTGAAAATAAAATTTCCCTACTCTAGTACTCAAGATAGTTTTCCCAGAATGGTTTTTGAAGAAACCGGGTGGGGGTGGGGTGTTTGAACTAGATGATCTCCAAGGTCCCCTCCGACTCTAACCGTCTTTTATCTGACAGGGAGAACCAGTACTATAACCAGATTTGGCCAAACTTATTGGGTGGTAATTTTACGTGTAGCTTGTGGTATGTCCACTTGTGTTATTTTATAATATTTATTCACTGGACCGATTCCAGGAATTGAGTACCACCAGCGGCAGCATCGTCCCTTTTCAGATGAAGGAACATGGTACAGAGATGTACGCTTGTACATCGAGTCCTAAGTTGCCCAGTCAGAAAGGAGAAGACATGATATCCTGGTGTTCTCACCTTCCTTGCACCTATTCTTCTCTTTTTTCATGTATTATATTAAAAAATCTTATTGACTCTTTCTGAAGGAGATGGCTTCTCAATGTGTGGAGAGGAGAATCCAGATAACCTAACTCTTCCCATTAATGGTGAGTCAAATTTGGGGAACAAAACAGAAACCCACAGAATGGTCCTCCTCAGTCTGGGCTGCGCTCACCTTTTAGCTGGAGGTAGCCTTGGGCCAGGTTAACATACGCCTCTGCTTGTTTCCAGTGGGAGTCGCCGTAGCAAATCCTTGTGAGCGCGACACAGCGCACGCGCTCCTGGATCGCCTTCTTATACTGTGAAGAAGAGAAGGCGGGCTTACCATTCAAAGATCTGAAAACAGAGGGCCACAAAGCACAAAGCCACTTTGCACTTCCATCCATTCAGTGTGTATTTATTGAGGGCCTACTATGTGCTGGCCTTGGTTCTGAGCATGTGAGAGACATCAGATAACTAAACAGACAAGATCTGTTTTTTGGGGCAGCAGGGCTTAATTCTCTAGCAGAACTCTGGCTGAGAAAGGCCGCCAGCCTGGGCCTGCTTACCACAGGGCCTGGCACATGGTAGGTACTAAATATCTGTCACATAAGGAATAAGCACACATTCAAACCTGGATTCAAGCCCACTCTCCAGGATCCTGCTCTCCCTCCCATCTTCACTGCAATGACAAAAGGCACCAGCTGAGACATAGTCAGGAATTGTACTCCCCCTTCTGGCCTGCTCTTGACTTTTCATCCTGTCTCCTAGGTCTCCTCAGTCACCTGGTATGACTGACTCACATTTCCAAATTCCTGTCAAAAGATCTCAGCATCTCTACTGTCCCTGCTATAGTTCTTGTTAATTCCTTGCTGGAATTATGGTAAATATCCTCTAAAATGGCCCTCCTCCTCCAGTTTTGCTCCTTTCCCCAGCTATCCAAGTGATCATTCCAGAAACTCAAACCTGCTCAGGCACTTTCCTCTTATAATCCTATGACAATTTCTTACACCTTCAAGAGGAAATCTAAAGTCTTTCCCTGGACACTGAACACCCACTAGGCCCCAGCTCCTGTCCACAAGCAACCTTATTTCCTGCTTTGTGCCACTAAAGCTGGCCTGTATCTCATGGAAACAACCTAAGTGTCCACTGATGGAAGAACAGATAAAGAAAATGTGGTGCATCTATATAATGGAATAGTATGCAGTCATGAAAAAGAAGGAAATCCCGCCATTTGCAACAGCATGGATGGACCTTGAAGGCAATAAGCGATGTGAAATACGCCTCACAGAGAAAGACAAATACTGCATGATCTCACTTAAGTGTGGAATCTAAAAAAGAAAGAAAAAAACAACAAACTCATAGATACAGAGAAGAGACTGGTGGTTGCCAGAGTGGAGGGGTGGGGGGTGGACAAAATGGGTGAAGGGGGTCAAAAGGTGACTACAGTTAGTAATACTGTATTGTATATTTCAAAGTTGCTAAGAGTTGATCTGAAAAGTTCTCATCATAAGAAAGAAAAAATGTGTAACTATGTGTGGTGACGGATGTTAACTAGACTTATTGTGGAGATCATTTTGCATTATATACATATATTGAATCATTATGCTGTACACCTGAAACTAATATAATGTTATATTTCAGTTAGAAAAAAAAAAAGCCAGCATCCCAGGCGGTTCCTTCTCGTTCCCCAAACAGGCTGTGTGCGCTCAGCCCCTTGGCTCCTGTCTACCTGCTGCCTCTGTCCAGAACGCTATTGTCGTCTGCCTTACCTGGCTAACTCCTGAGCACAGTTATCAGTGCAGCCCAAGTAACTCCCATCCTAAGAAGAGCGCCTCGATTGCTGCCCATCCAGCGCCTCCAGGCTCATGGCCCAGCCCTCTTTCTCCAGAACCCATGTCCCCATGTGTGGCAGCTATCTCAGCTGACCTTGTGTCTGTCATAGAACTTACCACACTGACTACCATTGTCTGTCTCCCTGACTATCCTCCCAATCAAACCATGAGTCCCTCCGAGGAAGAGGCTGTGGCTTTCCCATCCATGCCCCCAGCACCTGCACAGCACCCAGTACATATCCATAGAGCAGATATTTTTGAAATAAATGAACAAACAAGGTCTGACACACCAGAGGTGGCAGAGAAATGCATATGAAATGAACGAGTGACTGAGTAAAACTTTTAAGGAGAGAATGGGAGAGAAGTATAGAGAGATGAAGAACCTAAGAATTCTAAGCTCTCTGAGAGCAGGAGCTTCGTCTGCTTTGTGTTGGAATTCCATGCTTCGAACTGGCATATAGATTTACTGACTGGTGGAAAATTGTCAAGCCTGCAACCAGTCAGTGCAGTATGCAAACAAGTCATGGCGGACTTGTTCGCTCATTTGTGCATCCATTCAGCAAACACAGGTGCTGACTGCCAGCGGCTGTCTGGGAGCCCTGAGCTGTCCTACACCCACTCATGCTACGACAAAGGTGCTTTCCTGTATACCTTCTTGTACCAAACCCCAGAGAGTAGAAATATAACTTAAGCTATTACACTTCTTAATTACAGGTATAGGACAGCAAGGCTCCTTACTTCGTGCCTGCTGGAATAGGACTTTGCCTTCTCTTCACAGAGTTGGAGTTTCTCTCGGGGAGGCTGGAAGAGTGCCGTCTGTGCCCCCTTGCTTGGGGTGCTCTCTGTGGGCGTTATGCTGACTGCAGCAACAACTTCATCTAGGTGGCTGGAGAGATGGGTGTCCTGTGATTCTTGCATATTTTTATATACATTATCCTCTGGCTCTTAAATAAGAAAACAGAAGTGTCCAATGATGATTTCCATAGTTACTTTTAGAAATACACAGTTTTCCTAGAAATGGAGGCTAGAATCTAGGAAAAATGTCAACATTATACCCATGACTTCTTTGAAAATAGTCGCAGTCTGTCTAAAAAAAAAAAGTCCTGGTGGCTGGTGTTGACGTCTTTGTAAAACTTTCAGGCTGTTTTCCAGTGTTAACTAGGCCAAACATTATTTGTTCATTTACATGTATATGTCACACAATAAAAATCAGCTGAGGCCAAACAATTCTCAAAGAGCCCAGATTAGATCAACTGAACCCCAACTGACCTTGGAGTGGGGAAAAAAACAGCTTGTTAAAGTTTCACTTCAGCCACGATGGCGTAATAGGGACCAGGTTCATCCTCTTGCCTGAAATAACCCACCAACGAACCAACAAAACCAAAAAACAAACAAACAAAAAAACTCACAGACGAAAGAGTTATAATGTAATGGTTTTCAAGAGACAGGACATCAGGCCTGAGAGACTGAAAACATAAAAGAAGCAACGTGAGACCCATGATCGCCCTAGTTTATGGATGGCTTGAGAACATTTCCAGGACATGCAATGATGGGGGACCCAGAAGCTACCCCACAGACTACCGTCTGAGTTGGGAACATAGAACTGAGTGGCTGGGGAGACCAAGGTGGCTAGAGCTCACAGCACAGATTCCTGGAGGGGATAGAGCTGCACAGAGAGGACCCCAGAGATTAGCAGAGGGACCCCCTCAAGTATGTGGGGAGAATACTGACCTGTGAGTGTGCAGAAAAACTACCTGAGTCTGGAGAGAGACACCTCTAATAAGACTGAAGGGAAACATGTCTGGTGCTCACCATGGCAGTGCCTGCTCCCACCAATGCACAGGAAAAACCTAATTCACGAGGCAGAGGGAAAAGTACTCAAAGGGTTTTGTCTCAGTAGTGGGGAATAATTGGCCCTAGATCAGATCCACCTAACAAATCAGAAAAGTAAGACCTAGAAGGATAAAACTATTTCCAAGTAAGTTAGCTGTACCAGAGGGTAAAACTCAAGAAAGTTCCTAGGAACAAAAAAATAGCCAGCATTCCCCAAGGTAAAATTCACCAAGTCTGACATCCAGTCCAAGATTACCAGACATGCAAAGAGGCAGGGTGACATGGACTACAATGAGACTAATCAATCAATCAAAACTGACGCAGAACTGACACACATGTTAACTCAGCAGAGAATAATATTAAAATAGTTATTATAAATGTGTTCAATATGTTTAACAAGGTAAGTAGAGGCATGGAAGATATAAAAAAGATGCAAAGTGAACTTTTAGATATGAAAATTATGAGATGAAAAATATACTAAGTGGGATTAGTGACAGATTAGATATTACAGATGAAAAGACTGAACTTGTAGACATAGCAATAGAGACCATCAAAAAAAAAAATCAGTGAGCTGTGAAACAACTTCAAGTTGCCTAATATATAAACAATTTGAGTGCCTAAAGGAAAGCAGGTTGTAGCAGGGACAGAAAAGAGATTTGAAGAAATGATGGCCAAAAGTTTCTGGGCCTCTGAACCTCGTGTTAAACTTTAAAAGTGGTTTGATAATTCTTTGTTTAGTTTTTGGCTTCATTGTAAAAAGTGGTTCGTCTCCTGCTTCCTCATAATATCGCATCCTTAAAACAGAGGTTATACTCTGAGTGCTCACAATTGAGATCTAACTACTCCCCACCTGCATTTTATTTCTTTTGGCGAGGCAGTTAAAAAAAATTGAGCCATTATTTTAAAATTAGAAGTTTTACATAAAGATCTAGATTTCTGAATTTCTAGCTTCCTTTGAAAACGCAACACCTGTCAACAACCAACTAGCCCCAGGGTGCGGGTGGCAGCTGCCCTTGGAGACAGGACACTCTCTAGCTTGCCAGTTGCCACCATTCCCTGTTGGCTCCTGGACACAGAGGCGGCAAAATGGTTGACGTTCACCAGTGCTTCTGTGTTGCCCCTTTTCATATTGTAAAAGAATAGGTCTTTCGGTGTGCGTACCTCTCTTTCAAAGCAAAAGGCTGACCTAAAGGGCTGCGATTTCCCTGGTCCATGCCACTCATTTCCAGAATTTCATCTAATCTAAAACATCACTGATTATAAGACACACCAGTATTTTATAGCCACTGAAAAAGAAAAAAAAAAACACTGCTATTAAACTGTGACTTGTCCTCATTTGTAACATGCCTTCCAATTTCAGAGATGTTTAAGTGTCAAAACAAAGGTGCCTTTTTGAATCGATGAAATGAAGCATGTCACCTGCCTGGCTCCTGGAAGCATTTGCATTAGTGACCTTGTTTTAAATATGTGTCTCTTTCATTGTGTGTTGTCACGTCCAGCGTGGCAAGGGCAAACGGGTTTCTCTTAAGGGGCGACGCAGATTGAATAAAAGCAAGAGACAAAAGTAAGATTAAGAGCGAGACCAAGGGACTCAGCCAGAGAAGACTGAGTGAGCCCCGAATCGGGTCAGTGCATGGCTTTTATTGAGAAATTTGAAAAGAAGTGAAACTGTTTCACTGCTGTCAATCAATTTGTAACCCCTGACTTATGTGTGCCTTAAGACCTTTTCCATTAGCATTCCCTTTGTGTTCCAACACATCCTGTGCCTTCACACTTCCTCCACATAGCCCCAAGACACTGTTACTGTGTCCTCCCAGGGGAGATAACTATTATCATTCCAATAGGTCCCAGTCACCTGAGACACTCCCAGAGAGAGCTTTACAGATATCATTCCATCCGGCCTCAGTTTTCCGAGACACTCTCTCGACAAATGGGTCAGAGGCTAATATAGGGGGGTGGTAACGGAATCGGCTATAATGCAACAGTGTGTGGCATCGTATAGTAAGACCTTTAGCACAAAGACACACTTTTTGGTTCACTTACTTTGCGCTACACGCTTATCATCAGCCACTTTTCTTTTCTTTGTAATAGCCATAGCTGGAGTTTAAATTTTCATTAGAAATCAGTCCAGGCCCCACACACCACCCTCCCTCTCTGCCAGTCTTGGCTGTGCCCACAACTGCCAGTCAGACATACCCAATCAATTGATGCTATTCCTTCTGCCAGACCTGCCCAGTAGAATGCTGAAGCACACGATCAGGCCCAGATCAAAGTGGAAGGAAGAAGAGGTCTGAAGGGAGGTGTCCGTCTTCCATTTCCAAGAGGTCATTTGGAGAAGGCAAATCAAAACTAAAATGAGAACCACTTCACACCCACCAGAGTGACTATAATTAAAAAGACAGGCATTAAGAAGTGTTGGTGAGGATGTGGAGAAATTGGAACCCTGACATCGCACTGGTGGAATGTAAAATTGTGCAGTTGGGTAACTCCTCAAAAAGGCAACTATAGAGCTACCATATGACTCAGCTTTTCCACTCCTAAGTATAAACCCCAAAGTACTGAAAATACATGTTCACACGAAAACTTGTATGCATCTTCATAGCAGGAACATTTACAATAGCTAAAAACTGAAAGCAATCCAAATGTCCATTAACTGATGAATGGATAAAAAAAAAAAAAAAGTCTGGTAGTGTCCACACAATGGAAAATTGCTTGGCAATAAAAAGGAATAAAGTACAGACACACACTATACTACAACATGGATAAACCTCAAAAACATTATGCTAAGTGAAAGAAGCCAGAGAGAAAATACCACACAGTATATGATGGAGAGTGGGAATGTCTCTCAGAGACCCTGGCTGGCCAAGGTTTAACTAGCCATCAATGGGAGTCCTGGTAGACTAACAGAGACTGGAAATCTGTGGACAGGCTTTTCACTACCATTGGCCAGAACTGACACATGTGACTCTGCTGTCATTTCATTTGCTCCCCTAACTGCAAAGAGGGCTCGGTACCTAGGAGAGTCAGTGGAATATTTAGTGAGCATTGCCCTCTGCCCCACTGGGCATCAGGGGCCCTTGTCTCAGAGTTCTTTTCTATAGCCAGAGGTTCCTCCTTCTCTATCCTCCTAATTAAGGACCAAGGATCAACAACTTAAGCTAAATGGGCTTCAGATACTTTGAAGCAAGTTTTGAAGCTGGAGACAAACAAGCTTGGAGTCCCTGAGACACCCTGCTTTTGGGGGAGGAGATGGTCCTTGATTCACTGTTTTTGCCCAACACTGAGGATAGTATCTGGTACTTGGTAGCAGCTCAGCAAGTGTATGGAATTAAGTTCTGTTCCAGAGAACGCGTTAGGTGAAAGCTAACAGTCTGAGTAAGAATACCTCCTGGGAAGGCCAGTTAGCTCAGGTGGTTAGAGCGCAGGCTCCTAACACCAAGGTTGCCGGTTCGATTCCCACATGGGCCAGTGAGCTGCGCCCTCCACAACTAGATTGAAGACAACTATTTGACTTGGAGCTGATGCATCCTGGAAAAACACACTGTTCGTTCCCCAATAAAATTTCCAACAAAAACAAAAAAGGATGCCTCCTATCCTCTCATAGTATCCTTCAGGTATAGGGGCTTTTTTTGTTTTGTTTTGTTTTGTTTTCTTGTTGTTTGTTGAAATGTCTTCAATTTAGTTAAATAGAACCAAGAAAAACACTTAAATTCTGAGGGAATAGAAGCAAGAACTGATTCCATGTAAACTATCACTTTTACTGTTTTGATTGCATCACAACCGCTGTCACATTTAACATAGTTTGTATTTGTACAAAGTGCTAAACAACAAATGAGCTCAATGCTTTAGAAGACTAGAAAGAAATGCATCAAGGCTTATGTTATTCAACCAAGTGAATTTTATAAAAGGCATTTGGATAAAATGTCTTAAAAGGCTGCTATGAATCTGTACTTCATTATTTATAGCATTTAGCCTCTTTGCTTCCAGTCTCTGCTCTGGGAGCTAGCTTAAATTGCAATGTCAGTTTTATCTTTTTCAAATTTTACTTTCAGAAGGTCTCCATCCTGTTCAAATCTTAGGGCCAAACTCCTTAATTCTGGCAATTTTGACTCTGTGCAAACTCTCTTTTTTTTTTTTTAAACCAAGACCCCCAAATGAACCTTCTACTGCAGCCAGAGCTGCATATATCTACTGCAGCTCTAGTCTGCATATTATTTATTGACAATATCATTACCTAGGATGCCACTTCCTTTCTTTTCTATCTACTGAAACTTTGCCCATTGTTCAGGCCCCAATAGGGTCCTAACCCTACTGTTAGGCTCTCCCTGCATATGTCAACTCACACTGATCTAAGCACCTGAAGTACCTATGGTCTATAACAGTCATCTATGCATCAAGAACTGTCCAGATGTTTTAAATGTTTTGAGTCTCATTCCCCTAACTAGAGTATGAGCTTCTTGAGAGACTGTATTTTGTCATTTTATAACCCCCTATATGGATTAACATAGGCACCTCAAGAAATAGTTATTGCATACCTACTATGAGCTAGGCTTTGTAGAGGTTTAGATGTGCCACTAGGTATTATATTTACTAGTTGAATCTTTATGATGTTATATTTTGGAATTATATATTGGGCTGGATCCTAATATTATGTTGCTATTTCAAATATAAGTTTTAATATGTGTTATTCTCATTTATTAATATTTTCCTGAACTTTTATATTTTAATTTTACTGAAAATATCATTTTTTAAAATACTGTATAAGTGGTGGATTTCATTTTTTAATAATTTATCATTACATTAATTACCTACTGATTCTGATTTATATACCAATATTGTTTTGCTTGGTCATTAGCAGATTGTCCCTGGATTTCGTAATCTACAAATATACACAAAATTTGAAACCAAGGATGATTCTAATTTTCTTATATCTTTTAACAGATGGATTGCCTATTATGCTAAGTATGATAATATACAAAAATATCCTTTTTACTTGATAATTATAATAACATTAATAAGTGTCCCTCTAAATCCATTTTAAAGCAACTACAAAAAAAGCACAACTTCTTAGAGCATAAAATAATCTATAATTAATCTTATTACTTTGTTCCCTTTATCATTCAAAAATCCACTGCTAACCTCGGAATAATGTCCTTCCAACCCCACCCTGAAGAGGAAAACACCCTCTGAAAACCCCTTTCTGCCACTCTCAGATTTTGCCTGTAGTTTATCTGGCTTTCCCTTGACACTCCTTTAAAACTAGCGAAAAATCAGGAAAGTTGCAACGCTCACATCTCTGTGTCGTAAAATCCTTTGTCCACTTACCTTGGACGCTTGAGAAGTTCTCCGTTTCTTTTTCCAACGAATTACACAGCTGTCTCGACAGCCCGATTTGCTGTATCAGTGTGACGATTCCTTGTACAGATTGATAACCATCAAAAAGTATAAAGTAGGGTGGTTCCAGACAAAATCGGAGCAGCCTTTTTCTGTAAAGCAAGCTGGTACCTCACAAAACTCCAGGCAGAATAATGAATGATAGAACAAGCACCAATAGGGAGTGGAGAAGAGTAATTTGTCGAAGTTCACAACCCAATCCTTGGGAGCCAGAGGTGGGAATTTAAAAATAGGGTTGTCTTTTCCTTGGAATTTTCTTAAAGTGGCATCGCTGCCTGTTGATGTTGAAGTTTGTTAAAGAACACTAAATCACTAGTTTAAAGTACTCTATTCCTTCGCTCTTGTTTTGGATGAAGCAAAATGTGAAAATTGGCACTAGACAAATTTAGAGAACTTTTTAAGTTAGTCATAGAATCACTTCGCTACTTTTCTGTCATTTTCTTTTGGGGGCGGGGGAGGGTTTAAAAGTTATTTTAAGATGATTCATTTTTCATGATCAAATTTTGCATGTTAATGCATTAAAATATTTCCCTTTTTAAAGACGTGAAAATAAGAGGCTAACATTGATTAATTTCTAAGCAATTGTTCTATCTATGGTTAATCTTTTTTGTGTGTGGTGTGACTTCAGTATTAGGAGCAAGTTTTCTTATTTCGGTTGATCTTTAATACCCTAAAGATTTTTGTTTTTACACAAACTGTAGGTTTCCTCATTTTGAGTCTAGCAAAAATTCCCAAGTACTACAAATCCTTAGGTATTTAGAAGTCTGTATAAAGGCTCTTAGAAATGCATGCCATATACTTCACTAACTTCTGAAGGCCAGATTTAATATATAGATAATTGATATTTCACTATAACTCATGCCTTGTTTGGGAATAGGTTTTATTGTTATTTACTATAACTGTTTTCTAGGTTATTTCATCTTTAACAGTGAGTAAATAAATCAACGTAAAACTATATATAGTCAAGGTTACTTGACAATGAACCTCGGTTAAGTTAGTCAATATCAAGCTTTTCAAAAAAGAACAATAAATAATAGCAGTTTCATGCGAGGAAAAATTTTAAAAACCTCATTTCAGAATGAAAGTTGCCATACTAACAAACAAGGCATTTAAAAAATAAGTTTTTGTTTTTTTAAACACTGCTTGGATTTATTTATTTTTTAACCAGCGTCAAGTTCTCTTCCTTGTATCTCTTTCCCCTGATATAGGAATTTCCGTTTTGAAAAAATACGTATTCACGACCTACTCAGTCATGCTAGGAACTGCCACAATATTTAACTTACTAAGTTCTTACTGTCCTTTTCAGCGATCTTTTCTTACAATAGGAATTTCAAGAGCAGAACCTAGGTTACCGCCTCCTCTTTGGAACGAACCTATCAGCGCGCAGTGAGCCCTTAAATCCAGTGCCGGGGCTCACGACTTGCGAGTTAACTAACCTTGGCCACTTTACATAAACGCCCCGGGCCTCAGTTTTTCACCCGTCAAACTAGTATAATAATAGTACCTGAATCAAGGGGTTGCTGTGAGGGATAAATTAGGTAATCTATGCACAGCTCTTAGAGCGCTGCCTGGTACACAGTAGGCGCTCAGGAGTTACTGCAGTTGTCCCTCAACGTGCCCATTGAATGAGAGCACGGACGCCTGAATGAATGTGTGAGTGAAAGAAGAGATTAGTTACTAACGGCTCCTGAGTTGGGATCCGGCTAAATTACCCTTCAAACTGCAAAAGCAAAAAACCTCCTCGACAGCAAGCCACCAGCCGGAGCCGGAAGCGAGCGTCGAGGGGTGGGCGGGGCCAGCCTGTAAGAAGCAGTGTTCTCGGCCAATGGCCGCATCTCTCGAAAAACGAGCCTCTCGTCCGACCAATCGTGAAACCGAGAGAACTGGTTGGAATTATCGCGATATCCCGTTCTTCTCGCTCCACCGCTCCCTCTTTCCCAGCTCTCTGTTAAGAGGGTTCCCTCTCCCCGCCCCGCTCCGCCCCTCGCCTCCCAAGTCTCGCCCCGCCCCCCGGCCGGCGCCCCGCCCCACCCGGCGTCCCTCGGCTTGCTGTCCAGCGCAGCCTGCGCCCTGGAGCGCCGGTTCTGCCGGCGGCGAGGTGAGTGCTACCGTCCAGGTACAGGGTGGCTCACGTTGGCGAGGCCCCCTGTTACCGGTCCCCCACCCCCAGGTGGGGTCCGGCAAAAGCGCCCGGGCCGTGGTGGGTAGACCCGGGTGAGAATGGGCCCTACCGGGCCCTGGGTCCCCACAGCTGCCGGGCCCTCTTCGCCCTCGTCCTGAGAATCCGGATACTGGGTCTTGAAATCCCTGCCACTGGGCTCGGTGCTTTCAAACTGTAACGACCTTAGGGTTTGTTTAACTCGGGCAAAAACGGCATGTGTTTTGCCTAAGACTTCTGCTAAGGCTTCTTAGTACTGGGAAAATAACCTTTTACAAATGCTTTTAATATACAGTTTTTAATTCTCTAATGTCCAATATTAGGAAATTGGAGTGGGTATTCTGAATTAAGCGCTGAAGTCAGTCTAAGGGACTCCTTTCTTTTAAGACGCTCGTGCCAAAAATGTGTGAAATATTAAGATAGAAGGTTTTGTTTTTTAAAAATAATAAAGTAGATTGGTGTTTACCTGTCAGAAAACTCGTGGAGGTGCAGTGGTATACAGTTCATATTAAGTATGTCATTTACTTTTAACTGTAGGTAAGAAGTAGTGAAGGAAATTTGTGTAAGAAAAATATCCTGGTAAAGGATGTATAGTGCCAGTGAATTCATATTGGAGAGCCACTATTAGCATTATTTATTATTGGCGGCTTTCAGATTTCATTTGTGTAGATTTTACCTCTTAAACTGCCTTTGTACCAAGATGCATTTAACAGGGTGTAATGACGTTTTTAAGTCAGCTAATCCCAGCCAGAGGTTTCAGAAGGAAAGCCATCAGACTATAGTGAATTCTCTCTACTTTGATCTTCCATCAGTGAGTGTGGGTTTTATATATAGTTTTGCTTTGTAGTCTTACATTTATATAAGTCTTGTCTACCACTTAAATGATCATAGGGAGAAGCACAGGCCCCATCAAAGTGTGTGAAATGCTGCATTGTAGGGCGGTGCACAAGCTTTGGAGTTGATGCACCTGGGCTGGAACTCTGGCAAGTTACCCTATGAGAAACTCAGTTTCCTCATCCATAAAACGGGCTAAATAAAGTCTATTGCAATGTGGAGTTGTGAGCATTAGGGATCTTTATGGTACTAGCAAGCATTGAGTATATAGCATCTACAAACTGACCTTAGATCAGAGAATCAAAACAATCGACCATGCAATGCAACAGGTCCTTGAATAACATTGTTCAGTGTCATTTTGTTATAATGTTGAGAGGTAACATAGAACTTGACTCTATATCAATTAGCCTATGGGGGAAAATTGGTTTCTACATTGTTGCAGAACCTATCCAAGGTGTTAAGTGAGGTACTTGCATATGCTATTTTCATCAGCTGTTAGAAGGCCTGCTTTGTGTGAGAGGCAAGTATATAAGAGTGAAGAAAACCTCAAATCTCTGCCCTCAGGAGCTTATAGTCTCTTGGCTGGATTGACAATAAGCAAATACACCAATAAATATGTAGATTACAAATTGTAAGGAGTCCTACAAAGAAAAAAAAATCAGGTTTCTTTGAAATAATAATAGGAATACTTTAGTTTGGGATAGGAAGGTGATTTTTACATTAAAACCTGAAGGATAATGGGACGGTGTGTGCTTTCTTGCCTAAGAGGAGGGCAGCAAGTGCTGTGTAGAGTTTGGCACTTTTTCAACTTTTTTTTTTAAGCTGAGCCTTCCTGCCACCGGTTGGCAGCTCCGCGGCTGCTCAGCTCGGGCCGAACCGGGAATCAAACCGCTGTTGCTCAGAACTCAAACTCTTGAGTGAACTCTTAACCAACTGAGCCACTTGGCCGGCCCTCGAGTTTGGCACTTTTTAGAATTGGAAAAGCCCAGGAGCTTGGTGAGAAGCCAGATATGCCTTGAGAAGTGTGTGGGGCCAGATAGTGAATAGCCCTGAAGCCCTGGTAAGAGGTTGATTTTCTAAATAATCTTTTGAAGGGCTTATTTAGTAGAATGTGTGAGCATTAGAAAGCCTGTTTACCTTAGAGAGAGGGGGAGATTCAGTTGGATTTACATTTTAAAAGGCTCACTGCTAAGTGATTAAAGCATGGAAAGTCGCTGGAGTGGACAGGAGACCATAACACAGATAGCCAGGCAGGAGATGACTGTGGCTTTCTGTTTAGGCTGCTGGAGAACTGTGGATGGACTTGAGGTGTATTTTCTTTTTTTTCTTTTTTTTTTAAAGATTTTATTGGAGAATCGGGGGAAGGGGAACAGACAAGTTGCTGTTGTTTTTGTTCTTCAGTCTAGTTGTGGAGGATGTTGCTTCACTGGCCCAACCTGGCATCATCATTGCGCTCTTCCCGGGTGAGGCAGATCAGTCACCGGCCTCTGGACGGCCGCTCACGGTGGCAGCTGGCCGCTCATGCTGGCTGCCGGCTACACATGGTAGCTTATGGCAACCCACTGCAGCAGGGGACTGCAGCCTACACCATCGCCAGTGACCCACAGCAGCCCAGCTCCAGGTTGAGCTGTTGTTCAGCATCTTAGCTGTAGAGGGCAGTGTCACTGGCCCTCATATGTGGATCCGAACCGGGGCCCTCTGGCGTCCCAAGCCAGTTCCCAACCAACGTGCCACTCGGCCCTTGAAGTGTATTTTGGAGATGGAAACCACTGGCCTTGTGATAAATTGGAGGTGGCAGATGGAATCTGGTGACTTCTATCTTTCCAGCTTGAACAGCTGGGTGGATGGGGGTGTGTGCCACTTTCTGAAATGGGGAAAACTGGGGAGGATTTTGGGGGAAAAATATCTCTTTTAAATGTGTTAAGTTTGAGGTTCTTCTTGCTTTGCAGCTGAGATAATTAAGATGTGGAAAGATTTGAGTTTCTTGCTCAAAGTCAGATAACGTCTCATAAAAATATTGGGTTGTCTGAAAAGTCATGATGCATTTTTGCAAGGAAAAAGAGAAAAAATATGTCATGACTTTTCCGACAACCCAATAGTTGAGCAGGTGGACTTAACTATGGGAAAATATTGGATTCTTATGTTGCATTGGGATGTTATTGAATATTTAATATTCTCTGCTGCTTTGCATACAGTGGTAATTGCTCTCTTATTAGCTAGGAATTAGAATTTGGAAATAAGAGCAAATAACCAAAAAGTTACAAAACTCTGCTTATTGAAAGCCATGGCACTACATTTTGCACTAATTTGGTGCTAATTCCAGTGGAAGTAGTTTTTCTTAAGAAAAAAAAAATTCTTTGAAAGATACTTTCCATGAGAAAGTTTAGAAAAGGGTGTCCATAAAAACAGAGAGTAGGGTCTTTGAACCAAGCTCAGCTTCTTTTTAGTTTTAGTATTTTCTTAGTATCCTGTGGAATTCTGTGAATCCGTGTATGTAAAGAACCCAGTCTTCGAAATACACTGGATACCCCCATCCAAGGAAAAAAAAAAAAATCCTTGCTTTCATTATCCCTTATGAGCTGTTCGACTTTGGACAAGTTATTGAAGCTCTGAGTTTGTTTCTTCTAGCATTAAGTGATTGTGAAATTTGTTTCTGCCCTGTGCGTAGTTGATAAGATGGCAAATGTTATTTCTCTTCCTATCCTTGTCAGTTTTGGAGCTAGAAGGGAATTTAATCTGTTTTGGGTTTTAGCCCTTACCAATAAATTTCTCTCTCCATTTTATATATTAGGCAGCTGAGGCCCAGAGAGATTAAATACAGAGTTCTTATTCCTTAGTGCAATATTTTTTCTTTCATTGAAATAGTAAAATAAAACTGTTTCTCAGACCTATTTCTTTGTTACTTCTGATAATCTACAAAGATAAGAAGATAGAAAAGAAAAAAGAGATTAAAGAAAAAAAATTTCTTTGAAGGAGGACAATATTTCGACAGTGAGAAGTGAAAAAAATGAAGTTGTAAATGATGTAGATGTGTTGTATATGCATATTTAAATATTTTGAAATACCTTAAGCTACAAAATGAGGTAGTTCAGGAAGGAAATGCGTTTGCTATATCTGATTTTTAAGTTCTTTCTTTGATTGCACATTATGAAACTGGCCTCTGTTCTCCTAAACAGGGATTCAGATCTCAAGTTCAAGAACTATTTTTCAATTAGGACTGTTTCTACTGAGTAGTGAATATTGTCTAAATAGTGAGAGTATTTTTACTAAATAGTTATTCATTTTTATCTCCTTCTAAATATGTGTGACAACTTAGTTGTTATGAAAGAAAAATGTAGAGATTGAATGTATAACTCTCTTTTTAGTGTCTGCTCATACCTCTGTATGCTACCTGGTTTATTTGGCAATGCTTGTAAGCAGAATTATAATTATGCAATTTTTTCCTCGTTAGATATGGACCAATTTTGACAAGATGTAGTGCTGCAGCGTGCCTGATGGGATATGTTCAGCCATGGCATCCGAACTTTGTAAGACGATCTCTGTGGCAAGGCTGGAAAAGCACAAGAATTTGTTCTTAAATTATAGGAACCTGCACCATTTCCCATTGGAGTTACTGAAAGATGAGGGATTGCAGTACTTGGAGAGACTCTATATGAAAAGGAACTCGCTTACAACCTTGGTACAGTATTATATTGCATTTTAAAAAATCATTTATAATGTGGTCCTGATCAAGATGTGGTTTACATATCTTAAGGTACTCAGACCAAGATGTATATCCTCTCTTGTTATGTAAACAAGTAATATAAATACACATACAGGGGGTTGTCATTGGCTGAGAATTCATTATCAGTGCCCCTACAGTTTATGTTGTTAGAGGAGGAGCTGTGGAGGAAAGAAAAAAAAAAATCACTAATGTGCCACTTACAAAATTAGTCCCCATTCAAAAAGCCCTGTTCACTTAGCCTCTTAGTGCATCTGTCTGGGCCTGTCCCTTCTTTGTGTGTTAAGCTTCCTAGATGATTTTTGGATGTTACAAAACCCAGTGGTAAAAAATTAAAGACCAAAAAAAAGGACTTTAAAAAGAGAATTTGAAGATTTGCAGATTGAAATAGTAAGAGGCATTTGGGAGGCTTGATGTAGTCTTTGAGTCTTTTGAAAAAGCAAAAAACCTTTTTTATGTTTGCAGTGTGCAAATCAAATGATTTTGAATTGGGCTATCATCCAATTTGTTTGAAAAATTTTGCCACAAAAGCAACATTTGACTCACTCTTTTTATGTTCTGAGAATAAGCACATAGTTATCATTATAACCTAAATTTTATATAAGATTACAAAAAGATTTGCAGTTTTTTTCAAGGGAATGTCCCAATCAAACTTTTTATTCCCACTGTTACTATTAAGAAATTTGATCTCTGTTTTAAATGGGTTTGCTTTATGGGTCCATTTCTGGTTATCACTTATCTTCATTTGGATCTTATACTTGAATTCTGGTTCTTATTCATTTTAGATAATTTATGATGTCTTGTTTCTTTGTGAATTGGCCCCTTCTTCACTCCCTTGTCTATATTGGACTTTCCTTGGGATCTGAAAGTATAATATTGGGTCGTCGGGAAAGTCATGACATATTTTTCTGTTTTTCTTTTTTTTATTGTGAAATACACATTTTTTAGAATTAGTTTCAGCTATATAACACAGTGCAATAGTTATACTTTTTACCCCTCGAGGTGACAACCCCCCTCCCCCAATCTGCCACCCCACTCCCCCCCCCAATATCATACATATCTATTACAATTCCCTTGACTCCACTCCCACACTACACTCCACATCCCATGACTTACAATTGACA